CTTGTGGGCGGGAGTTTGGTTCACATAGTATAATGAGCATAATGTCTTCAATCACCTGTAGGAGGCAATAGTACACTGAACACATGGACTGTCAGTGACTAAAGTGACTGAAGTCAAAAAACAAGGTGCTCCATGTTGGTGTCTTTGAGGAGTTGTTGTTGCCCCCAATTATACCCGGGAGGTTAGTTCTCGTTACCCGTCCCGGACTCTTTCGAGGTGGCAGACTTGCTCTATGGCTTGGCAGCAGGCAGTTTGTGCAGCGACACCGCGACACCATCGTGGGGCGCGGGGCAGCTCATGTTGGATGGTGGGTTGGGATCAGACGGCGCGGGCAGTCTGCCAGCAGAGCAAACAGATGGATGTGGCTTAATTATTATAAAGACAGGTGTTCCCGAAAGAAGTTGCGGCTAAAAAAAACGCGCGAGGTTGCGGCGAATCGGGAAGGTTCTGCGCAACACGGTCTGAGAAGAAGGCTAGGGGCCTGAACATGCATAAGTCACAACCGATTCACCAACACATATCTCATCAGATCCCAGGATCCACTGCCGAGCCAATATTCAAAACCCGGATGTTGGGGGGGAGGGTCTTAAAGGGGTGGGCGCCCAAATCCATCCCCATCCCATCTCCACGGTCGCGCCAACGTTGGTTGGGCCTTCAGGGTCTGCGCCAAAAGCGTCGCGTTCCTCGGAAACTGCGCATTGGAGGTGGCTCGTCGCTGGACGCGTGGCATGAGCGCCTCAGCGTTTTCCTCAAACAGTTGGTTGAGGTGGGGAGGGGAAAGACGGGAATGGCGAGGGTGTTTGGGGGCTGCGAAGTCTATGTGTGTTGGGTGCTTTAGCTCCATGTTGGGGTTTTCCTTCGAAGTGCCAGTCAGTTTCTTTTGAGGCAAGCATCGTACACCGGATCAGTTTCTCAGATACACGCATGGAAAAGGACGATGTAAGCATTCGAGAGTGTGCTCGGATGCAAGACACTTTGGATAACATACATGTTGAATCGGCTTGGGGAAGATTGAAGCTTGCTGACAACTCAGGCAGGGGGCATAATTAATAATGATTGATAACACCTTTTTGGATTCTACAACCTTAAAATAGTGATGTATATATAAAATATTATAAAGTGTAAGCAACCTGGCTGGCTGGAGTCCAAACCTTCGTTGTGCTGTGTTCTACCTACCCCGTTTTTCACAGCGGCTGTTGCAGGGTCAAGGTCTGTTCGGCAAGGCTAGAGAGTTTCGCCACGCAGCATCGCTAACATGGCTGGCCGCTTATGCCACCAAGCCACCTTCATTGATGTGAAGAGGGTGCCAATGATGGCGCGATCCAAGAGCTGGCCAGTCTTGCAGCCACCCAAAGAGGATGTAGATCTCGAGGACTTTGTGTCAGTTTCTAGTGCAATTTGGGACTCATCTTGGATAAGATTATCATATTGCTACAAGAGTGTGGGTTTGCTGCCCAAGCCACAAGGTGCAAGTTTGCTTGGGGGGGCGGACTGGTATAGAGACAGGCTTCCCAAGTGTCACCGGCGAAAGGTCCATCGGGTTTGGTTCGCAGCTTCATCAACACATGATCCACGCGAAGAGAGAACTTGGCACCCAAATCCAACGATACTACGCAACGGCACCATCGCAACTTCACCTACAAGCCAGAACGAGCAAACCTGCGACAGCGTGACCCGACTTCAGTATCTCAGCGTGACGACATGTCAGCATGTTAGCGTTGCTCATACCACATTTCAGCGTGACACCATACCAATTCGCAGCATATCAGCGTGATATCAAGCATGTCAGCGTATGGAAGCTCCGGAACCCTCCTTAGCAACCTCCTCAAATCCACCTGGTCCGGACATGCTGCACCGATCGGCTCCGAAGTCTTGGCGGCTGAAGACAACTACAGTAAGCTTCGCCAGCTTGGGGAAATAATGCTTTGGCATTTGCCACTCACTTGTTGATCATTTATGGTGTTTGAGAGAAACTCTTCAACTGACACCTGAGGAGTATATGGATGTCTTGGAGCAACGTGCCAGCCGTCCTACCTTCATCCATGGCCTCAACTACTTGGCTGTGCAATCGAACCGGTCAAGGCCCATCAGAGGTGAACATTTGAGCTCCAAGTAGCGGTTGCAAGTAGCGGTTGCGACAGCTTTGCCGCATTTGCCGCTTTGAGAGCTGCTATAGGCATGAGGTGTTGTGAGAGTTGTTTGATTGGTCGTGATATATGAGCCATCAAAGGAAGGATGACCTGCAGAAAGATGCAGGCATGTCCTGAAGTGCCTGACAGCCTCACCCTCCTCGGAGTTTTGGCCAGGGTAGGTGGATTTTGGCAACGAGCCAGCACCTCCTGTGGCCTTATTTGTTCACACTTTAATTCTGGTCATACGTTTGCCAGTTCAATTCTATAATGGAAGGATTTCATTCATTGATTTTTGGTTTTGGCAGACGGTCATGAAAAACTTCACATCCTGTGATTTTTGCTGCCCAAGGGCGTCTCCAATCAACAGATCACAACTTGCAGCTCCCTTTCAGGGGGCGTCTTGTTGAATGAACCTCAAAGACCTTCTTCGGTGCTCCAAGGCGTATCGCTTTGGACAGACCCTTTGCTCAACACATGTTTGTCGCAAAAGTGCACCGGTGCTGATGGTGCTGGGAATGCGAGTTTTGTCACACATGTTTTTGCTCACAGGCACTGAAGGGTGTTCTTTGACCTGAGTCAGGGAGATGTTTGCATGGAAGATGATGATGCGCCTCAAAGAATGAATGAGAAAGTGTATACCGGTTCTTTTTAATATGTTGAAGTTTGAAGTTTGCTGAGGCATCGCACTATAGTGTAAACAAACCGGCTGCTTTGTCCAAATCATTGTTGAGCTGCGTATTGCTTGCTGTCAAGCCTGTTTGCCCGGGACATGGAGGCCATGAATTGGGAGAAAGCAGCTAATTTGAAGTCCCAGTGATCCAGAATAGAGTGGTTTTTGGGCAGATTTCAGGCACCTCGGCGTGTGCGGCTGCTTGTGCCGTCCTGGATTCCGTTGTCCTTCAAAACTGGTGGTCGTAACCGGTAGGGAGAGGCTGCTTGATCATACACTATATAATTGGGCCTGGGTTTCTTCTTCCACCAATGTGGAGGCCATAGAGAAAAGCAGATCCAAACATCCCGGAGGACGCACACAACACCTATCTATCACCATGAAATGGGCCTTCCTCCAGTTCTTTCCGGCAAGGCATCACTTGAGCAGTGCTTGATGGGCGCGGGTCCCATTGACGGGGCTTGGCGATGTGTGTGTGTGTGTGTGTTTTTAGAATGGGTTTAAAATCCCCTCCATCCTAGCGGAACATGAAGCTCGGAATGCTATTCTCACGTTCTGTGTCCGCGGTCATGTTTGTTGGTAGTGCACTACTTAGGTTTGGAATTTGGACTGGAAAACATCGGGAGGACCTCTGTGCCATTGGTATTTTGACCAAGGCAAACCTTTCCAAGACCTTCTCCCCAAGGTGTCAACAACCGGGGTTGTGGCAAACAACAGACCAATTTCCCAAATAATTTGTGTTCCACTTTTTGAGTTAGATTTGTAGCTTGCTATCCACAAAAAGTGACCGCGCGCTGGCAGGGAGCATCAATCAGTTTAGCACAGGAGTTTTTCACGGCCAGATCGCAAAGATCAGCATGCTGGGCCAGCCCATGGTTTGCCGCTAAAAGCTTTATGGAGCCTCTTTAAGAACAAGGAATCAACAAACCCCTTGAACCCTTACAAAGAACAGCCTCTTTGTTTTCATTTACAGCCTCTTTACAGTTATGGACGGCCCCAAAGAAAAACAAAGAACTGCAAATTAGCCAATGGCAAAACGCACGCTTTTTCCATCAGGTCGAAGACCCTTGAAGGTTGGCGCTCGGTTGCTAGTCAGGACCTTGGGATGTGTGTGTGGCATGGGGGCTGAATGTACACTGCAGTGCAGTGACGTGACTGACCTGGTTTTGCTTAAGGTGTGTTTTCCAGTTTCCTAAAGCAAATCCAAGCTGAAGAGTGGTTGGCACAATCACTCTTGCTTGGATGTCTTCTGAAGCAGGGGTGCTTAGCTCTCGTCAATTTCCAGCTGAACATGTCTATAGACAGGCCCACTTTGATGGGCAAGGGTGACTGTTGCGGGTGACTGGTGTTTCGTAGATTGGGTCAGGTTGAATTCTCGTGGACAAGTGCCTCCGTATTTACTTGGTGCTTACAACAAGCTACGGTGAGTGGTGAGTATGCTCACCACTTATGGGGTCCATTCTCACTGAAGTCCAAAAGTATAGCAGATCGATTTGTGGTTGGCCCACGATTCTTGTCTCGTAAGGCAGCGGTGCAAGTGCATGATCCCGACTGGTGACCAGATGGGTGGTTTATCCAGAGAGTTTCTTCGTTCCGCTGTGATTGGCTGGGCGGAAACATCATGGACGACCACATGGTTTTCTAGCGAACCCACTCGAACCCCAGTCCAGTGGCTCCTTCTTGTCGACAAATCCGGGTGACGTCTCGGTTTTCACCCACTCCTACCGCCTACCGTGGGGCTTTGGAAGAGAACTGTTTCCTCGACCAGCAGTTCTGCTGGGCCTGGGGGGGCTTTAGGTGTCCATCTCAGCTTTGGCAGATTGTTCTCCTTCATCCATCTTGTGGCTCGAGTGTGGCGGCTTTCAACTGGAACGAACAGCAGAACAGGTGCTCAAGGTTCTGTTACTAGAAACAGAGAGAAGCCATGACAAGCCGCTAGTGGTAGTTATATGTAGTTATTCTCAGAGCTACATCAAACGACCACAATCAACTAACTAGAATTTGCACGTTTCGTAATGTTTTGTATCAAGGGGATCCTGGAGTCGGATTCGCTCCTGGTAGTCGGGCCCATAAGCAGAAAGAAACACAATGGATGCAACAAATGACATGAACAAGCACCAGTTCAACGGAGAGCTTGCCAAAACAGTCACAGACAGTCACAAACATCCCAGATCTCTCGCCAGGCTCCAGCGCGTTGCCTGAAAACCCAATAAAAAACAGACGCACTCTGTGCCTATCGGTCCGTGCCTTCCGCGGCCACGCCTGCCGCGTGGCCGCGTCGCCGCGACCGGTCAGATGCCACGTGGTCAGATGGAAGTGACTGAGGCCTGGCAGCCCACAAGGCTCGGAAAAGCGACCTCTCCGTCGGACCGAGCCGAGCTTGCGCGGCTTGCGCCTTATGCCTCCCTCAAACGGCTTGAAGGTAGCTGCGAAGCTGGCTAGCTTCAAGATGTGCGTGATATGGATGTTTGCAGGCACCGAGGTGGGTGCGCTGGGGTAGTAGTTTTGCTAAGGGCATCGCTTGATCAGTCAAACCACAGGCCCCAACAATGAAACAAAGATTGTTCAATCATGTTCAATCTCAGGAGACTCTGGTACTCACTGATGCCCCATGTTTGAGGCATAGGCAGTGCTGCCACCTCACGTCTAGAGAGTCTAGAGAGCCTACCATCTATTAGGTGTTGGGGTATGTTGGGGTCTTTTATTTGAGGCTTCAGACTGGGAGGACCTTTTTAGCGACTCCCTCCAAGAGGCTTCTCAATTTTCAATCTGAAGACTTTGAACATTGAAGACCTTGACTTTGCTGCAAACTGGCCGGCAGAACGTCCCCAGAGTTCCACCTGCTGGAGCCTCCAGTGGACGGGGACCCGGAACCGCGACCCGGACCGGAGCCGCATGGAGCCCGCGGAGCGTCGGAACGTGAGGGTCCAGGGTCCACCGTCGGGTTCACCACAGTGCCAAGCAGAAAGACATGGGGAAACCCCAAAAAGCCACTTCTTATGATTCTTATGTAAAGGATCAACCATTTGCCGCACTGGAACAATGCTTTTCGAACAGCGCGCGCTTTCCAGCGTTCGCCAGGCGTGCTGCTAGGTTCAAGTGGCTTGATGCAAAGTACGAAAAGTCGCACGTCGTCGACTCGCTCGCGCGACGGGTGGAGAAGGGCTGAAATACGGCGGTTTCTGTAGTTCAAAAGAAGGATTCCGAAAGGCGGCACGGAAGAGATGGGTCAGGAAGTTGTATACCAAACCAAGTACTCGTACTGATGGTTTGGAATGGTAATTATAATTGGTTTCTCTACAGTGTGCGGGGATGAAATTCTTGGACCTTTGCACACAGACAACTGCTTCTGAGCCTTTCAGAGGAGACTGTGATCCCACAGCGGATCAGAGACCGAGCTCCACTGGAATCCATTGGATCTCAAACGAGATTTGGTCCACATCCCTGACACCCCTTCCGGCTGGATGTGGTCGGGCCTCATCCATGGTCCCCGCGGTTGGGCAGGTCGAAGGCATCACTGGGATGATCGGAAGCCGTAGTTCATGGTTTCTCTGTGGGCATCCATCAGAAAGGGGTCAGATTGCATGGGTTTCAGACCGCATCAAGGGCTTCGGAAGGTGGTGTCCTTTATCGTGCGTTCCAGCGCTGGTCTCGAAGACGGGTTTGAGCCACATACATGGAATATAATAGAAGATTGCGACAGGACTCCTATACTATCCTATACCACTGGTCAACATTGATTCGCAATGTACAATATGATAGTACCACACGGGGGTCTCCACAGACGAAACTTACAAAGTCCGGTGTACACAAGTGCACACATCACCCCTGAGGCTCCAACCACCTGAGGTTCGGTGCTTGGGGTGAGTGTCAGGGGGGGTCGAAGAGCAAAGCTCCCTGATGGGCCAGGCGGACCTTGTCCGCCACGCATGGAGGACGGGGGCCCAGCTCAGCTGCCCCAGCTGCGAGCTCAGCTCGATCGTCGGCGCGAATAACCACCCTGAGGATCAATCTCCTTCAGATCCGTGGCTGCGCGATCCTATTGATCGCTACCTGGACTGCAGAAAACGAGCCTGGAATGGCTGCAGAAAACATTCCGAAAAAAAGAAGCTGAGATAGTACCCCAGGTAGCCTGTGGGGGTAGACTGTGGGGTTGTCCCCAAATGCGCCAATGCTGGAAACATGACTCAGAGATACTCAGAGTCCTTTAAGCCATAAACATTCTGAAAGCTAGATTGTTTAGCTCCTCTTGCAAGCTTCAACGGATGTGTTGCAGGTGGGTTCCTTTTTCTGCGTTGCTGCTAGTCCGAAGGTGTTCATCCAGGCCGCTGTATGAGGACAGCCGTTTACGTGTTCCAAAGCATCCTTTGCCAACAAGCATGGGTTTAAGCGGAGTGTACCTGCGAATGATTACATGGACGTGCCTGAAGCATGCAACATGACCACTGAAGAGCATTACACATCCTATCAAATGGGAGCGCTAAAGAGCGTGCTTTATCAAATAGGGAATGATAGGTTGTGCGTGTGTGTTGTGGCAGGGTGTGCCAACTCGAATGCGCACTACACGACGTTAAGACCTTTAAGACTTGTCATCACGTTGCCACTCTTGGTGGAGGCATGTGTTCGAGATGCCCAAGGTTTGCGCTTTGCGAAGCTATACTGCCTCCGGAGTTGGAGCTGATTCACCTAAAGAGCTGAGGAACGGCCCAGAGTCATCCTGCAATAGCTTAAGGCTTAAGGATGATTAAGGAAATGGTAAATTCACAAACTCTTTTGACTTCCGGCAACTTTTTGCGGTTTAGTTCCAAGACCGAACAACGGTCTTTAATCAGATCGTTTGGACACCTCCGCCTGGCGGTTTTCGCCAAACTCCGTCACAGCCTAAGGCATTGTCCATTGGCAGCTTTGCGTCGATGATGGCAGATGGAACCCTGGTGAACACCCACCTTAGTGCCGCCAGGCGCGGGCCGCCAACGGGTTGGTTCGCGGGTGTCGTCGTTGAGAGCGGTTTCAGCGGATGGACGGGGAGAGGCCGGTTGGCCCGGCAGTTGGTTTTAATTGGTCGTTGGCCTCGGGCAGCTTGGACTAGACCAACGGGGCCGGTTGAGCGGTTTGTGTCGTTCGGGGAATAGATGTGCCTCCACCGGTCTTGGTCAACCAGACCTTTGGAAGTGGCTTTCACGGGAGGTTCGGAGCGGTGCAGAAGCATGTGGCCGTTCAAAAGCAAACTCCAGGACCCCCCACCTCAGTGTTTTAGACTCTCAGTGCTTGTGCTTTGTGTGACTATCCTCTTGGCGCATCTGGGCATCTTGCAAAGGTGTCACTTTGTCAGGTTCGTGCAATTGGATTTGCAAAGCAATTTGGTTTCAGACAGTGGGTGTGCACACATGTGGATTGATAGATGCCGGTGGGGACCACGTTCTTGGCGCCCGTGAAACGTGTGAAACGTGTGAAGCGATGAGTTCCTGGGGCTGGCCCAGCTCCGTGCAACGAAGGTGGTTGGGATGGGTGCCAGGGGGGTCGAATATCATTCTGAGGAAGTTGGAGCCTTAGGGAGCATTAGCATCGATGAGCCCTCGCCTCTGCGTGAGTCAGGTGTGTGAACGTGCAGTTTCAGCAAGAGAACCCCTTCGATTGCAATGGCTCCTCGTTGAAGAACTGAGGCGTTTTGGAACATCTCCCAGACACTCGCCATGTACTCCACGACACTCTATGTAGTCGTAGATGTTTGGGGATTGTTTCTGTTCCACCGATATATTGGGTGCCTCCGCCCCCTTCAGGGGGCCTCCGGGTCGTGGAACGAGCTGGGGACCGAACATCCATGAACATCCGATGTTTAGATGGTCGATGAGGTTCTGGGAGAGGTGAAACACGGAGACCCATGCTTTTCAAGGCGAGGCGAGGCGAACGGGCAGCCATGGCTCTCAGAGGAGTAGACTGTACGACTTGGATTGGGTTCCAAAAAGTCCTCTAAGAGAAGTTGGTCCTCTACTCCCATCCCACCCAAGTGCATGTTTTTCTTTCCAAGTTGTGTCTTCCTGGGCTGCTGGAATTGCTGGGAGCCAGGTCCCCAACGAAGCCGCAAGCCGCATACGGTATAGCTCGCTGGGCTTCGCCACAGGCAAACGCCGCCACAGGCACCCCAGGGCAACGCGGCAAACTGAGGTATGGTCGTCTCCTTCCCCACGGTCGTGCTCATCTCCACTATCCTTTGTTTCGCCACTCGGAATGATACCTTCAGACTTCAGACTAACTTCATTTAGCAAAAAAAAGCGAACGAGTTACTGTGTAGAGACACCATGGTTGCTGTTGTGGACGATTTGGCGGAGGACAGCTGAGGCCAGAACTGAGAATCTTGAAGTGGATATTATTGCTCAATTTAAGATGCAATTAAACTCTGTTGATTGATAACCCTCCCCATGTATGAAGATGTTTTTCAATCCAAATGGGCAGGTTATTCATCAAGAGTCCACATTACTTTTGCTTCTCGCCTAGCGGTTCGCATCGTTGAGAGGCTTCCATCAAGAAGGTTCGTTTCGGAAGAAAGCCCCCGGCATTCTGATAAGAATGCGTCATTGTCATCCTCAAGCACGTAGAGACTCAAAACAGGGTTCATCCAAGTGTATTTTTTTTGGATGATGTTGGATGTTGTCCCACATTCTTTCGACTCTACCATGACCATACACAAGAAAAACACAAGTGGTTCAAGTGACCGTATACAGCAGTGACGTACACCGATGACTATAGTACTCTCTTTGGACTAAAGCACGCACCCTAAAGCACACGCTCAAGCACCATAAAGCACAATGCAAACCATCTCCTCATGACTCCCCATGCTTGAGGGGATGCTTTAAGATGCTTTAAAGGTGCCTTGATGTGCAAAAACCAACACCAAAACCAGACAGCCCGAACCAGACAGCCCGAACCCACCAGGTTTTCCTTGGTCAAAACCCTCATGACTCGGTCGTGCCTCGTTTTTCCTCGGTTCCAGGCCACGCTCGCAAGCCTCCTGTGGATCGCCCTCCACCTGGTGGACTCGGGGCATGCCTCGCGGGGCATCCATGTGGCTTGGGGAGCAGGAGAGGGTCGAACGGAGAGTGGAGGGTCTTTGACCTAAAAGAAAAGGAGTCGAAGTCTAAGGGGCATGTTGAACTGTTACAGGAAACCTCCTAATTAGCCCCCAACATGAGGGTCTGTCACCCCCCCCCCCCTTGACAGCGACATCCCGGTCAGACCGAAGCTCAAAACCCTGAGCCCCATCACCCCACCAGTTCTTTGAACCCAAGCAGTGTTCCACCGGGACTCTTTGTTTGCGTACCGTTGTTGGCATCAACGAATGGCCTCAAACGGAGCTTCACGTGTGTTTCTGTGTGTTCTTGTTTTTTGTTTTGGGGAGGGTGACGCACGAGAGGCGTCTTTCTTGGGGTGAGAGGGATGTATGGAGCTATGTGGATGTGGAAGACACCAAAACTGATAAGTTGTGTCACTCAGAAAGGGAAGACATATGCCAACGTTTCTCCATCCATATTCTTAAGAGTTCTTGCGATTTGTGTTGGTATTTGTATTGTTTCCTCAAGCCATCTATGTAGCCTTACTGACCATGACTTGCTTGGTGTGAAATGGGACATGTCCCGCGGCAAGTGATTTTCAACGATTTCCCGCGGCCGCGACGTGGTTGCTTTTCATCGCTGCAATCGAGTTCGATCGCCAGCAATGTGCCAAGGACATTTCAACGATGTTGGTGATCTTCAATGTGATCAAGGCTGGGATGTAGGAACTCCAAGCTTCTGATTTTCTAGCTTCTGAAATTCTGAATAACCCAGACACGACTAATGGGACTGCCAGTCCGGACTGCCGCCCCAGACAGACCCCTCATTGACCCCGATTCGACCACCCCTGGCCGTTTCTCGGCAGTCCTATGACAGTCCCATTCGTCGCTTCACGCGTCTGGGTAATAAGAGGGTTCACGCGTCTGGGCATGAGATGTTCACGCAGGTAGTATACCTGTCACGCAGGTTGTTCATGTCCCGGTGTGTTTTTGACGGGTTTGGCGCGGGGATTGGGGAGGTGCAGTTGTTGTGCACCACCGTTTGGGGCTCTGTTGGGAAGCAGTTGGTCATGTTGCTGAATTGTAAGGGTCCAAATGGAGTTCACCCCCTTTGTTTGTAGGTCTTCAGGGGCCATGCCATCCACTTCCAAATGAGTTCCAGGGGGAGTAAGAACCTGTGAACCTGTGTGGTTTTGTGTGTGGATCGATCGGTCGAGGCCGAGACGCCCAAGCGCAAGAATGCGACAGTGCATAGTAGTGAGGATTCTTTACCTTTGGGGCAGCTAAATGACTAGACAGAGGCCGCAGAATGTACTATCATTTGGCAATCAGGAGGAAAAACGATCCAGAAACACAAAGCCACCAGTCTGACCTGGAAACCCAAACAACCAGGAAAAGCTACATGTTGTTCCAGCACATCAACTAGTTGATCCTCTACAATCGGAAGCGGTCGAGACTGGGGGAACAGGCCGACTGGTTTCCGGGACCCTCTGGTTTTCCAGGTAGGTAATACCAGGACCTTCCAATGGGTGTCCAATGGACTACCCTACACTACTTAGAGAATCCGATTGGATGCCCATTGGATGGTCCAGGTATAAGACGTCAAACAAGTATATATTGTTATATTCTACGATGTCATATGGATAAATTATACATGTGTTATGATCATTGTATATGTTTCTCGTTTATATACTTACATGTTATAGTGTTGTCATGTGCTGAGCATGTGCTGGGCGGATGCCGCTCTCCCTGAATCGGGGCTGCCTCCGGATCCGACCTGGCGGGGCGTTGACCGAGGTCACCTTCGTGTGTCTCCATGGGATGTTCATCGCCATGACCTGGGAGTCCAATTTGACGGAGCGGTGGCGAGAGGGTGTGGGGTGCCTTCTGGGGCAGTTTGAAGCAGGTCAAGGGCCATCAGAGATTGCCATCGGTTTCAGACTTTAGGAGTTCACTTGTCTTTATATGTCTTTTACATGGCAGGTGGTTGGATGATTGTTCACACCACAACCTCATGATCACCGTGCTCACTGGTGCGTTCTCCCGAACACCGGTGTGTTCCTGCGCCGGTCGACCGAGCCAGGACACTCGGCTCCTAGGCTTCGTCATGCTGAGCGTCGATTTGACCCAGGCGCGGACCGCGGACCGCGCGGGCCCTGCCGGACCACCACCGGTGGGTGAAACAAAGGCCCCGGAGTCGTCTTGGCTTTGGAGGACACCAGAAATGCTTAAAAGCATGTGGGTTCTTCGTGGGGGAAAAGGTGAGAGATCGTGCATGGGATGTAAAGCAGGAGGGCGACAGAGAGATTAGCACATGCCAGCCAGTAGGAACCCCAGTTTGCCTCATGTTGCTGTTCTTCATTATAGAGGATGAGATATGGTGAGATCGAAAGGTTGCTGGGCGTGTTTGCTGTGTATCGTCTTTTTGGTGGCGGGTGCGTGTTTGTGTGCACAGGTGCGCACAGGGTGCCCCTGGAGAGCCTCACGATCTGAGCATTTCATTGCAGGTCCAACATCCAAGTAGGTAAGACATGGTAAGACTTGGTATCAATAGACCAGGTCAACATGGGTTATTTCTTTCAGTTTTTGCTGGAGGTTTCGCATGCTTGGACTGGATTGCCCCCCTGCGGCATACTATGGGTTCCAAAATGTATCGGTTTCTTCTTTTGGAAAAACAGGGTTTCGCCACCGGCGAAACCATGTGTTACTGAACGCACATGGTTGGCGTCCAACCCCTTCCGAAAGAGTTCCCCTTCTAAAAGGAGGCCCAGGGCCTCGCAGGACTCCCGCCAAAAATGGTACGTTCATGGGGGGAAATCCCGATGCACTCCACCTGCACCTGTTGATCTTTGAACTCCTGGATGGTGCCGTGGACCCTGTGGACCCTGTGGACCCTGTGAACCTGGTATCGCCCGTCCCCGAGAAAACCTGCCGAATCCGTTATGGACATGTTTTGTTGTTTGTTCTTCTTGGCGTGACACAAAGCACGTTGGAATGGAATCCATGCACCCACAAACCAACAAATGGCCACTTACAGCTCCGGCGGCAGCTGGAGCTCCCCTTCCTGCTCCGTCCGGACGCGTCGTCGCGCCGCTGTGTGCGCCGCGGTGAGCGGCAGATTTTGATCACTTTCTGGATTTGGATCAAAGTTCTCCAGCTCCACAAACTCTGCAAGGCGCGGAGAGATGGACGGAGGAGAGAGATGGACGGAGCAAACCTCCCAGAGAGAGCATGGTTTGAGTTGGGATTGGTTTCGCTGCAAGCCAGAAGTATCCAGAAGTTTGGGCAGGACATTGAGGGGTTTTGTTTGGGTGAAGGGAAATGGTTTCTTGGTATATGACAAGTGATGTTGTGTGGCATCCAAGACTGCATGCAGGTTGCACTTTGAGTTGCTCACTGCTTTTGTTCAGTAGACAACTTCCCAAGTTTCGCTACAACCTGTGAAAGCTCCAGGAACACGATACTCCAGATGCAACCGTTCATATATACTATATGACTATACTATATATATACGCTGACCCAAGTGCCCCAGACCGACCAGAGATTGGAATCAATTGTACCGGGCGCTCTTGATCCTGGTGATGTGGTGATATTCTACATCAGTTTGTGAACACACAGGGCATAGTCGTACCCTGACTGGTGCCAATCCTTGGAAAGTGAAGTCGAAAGGCAAACCTGAATCCAGAGTAGATAAGTTAAGACCAACTTGTATATGTAAGTGTTTAGTAATTAATGGTTTTATTTAGAAGGTTCCTCATATGTGCACGTGCACCTTACGCATGCATATGTATTGGCTGAACCTACTTGCATGATCTTGAATGTTGAAGCAGTCTTTTGTTTTGAGCCTCTTGGAAACCAACATGATTTGACAGAGCTTCGCCTGTGAGTGCTGATGGAATATGATCGCCAAGCTCCGTTGGGCTCAGCCTCTCACGACGATCGTATGGGCCGTGCCACCCTGCCTGAGGAGGATGATTTGAACTTGACCAAGCTGAGCAGCTTTCCAGAAGTGGTGGGTCCTGCTGGCCTTGGGCTACTGGAAGTGCGTGCGAAAGGTGCTCATCACATTCCATGAAGCAAGAAAGCAAGACTTATTTAGGTTGAATTACATGATCACTTTGGGATTGGGAATTCGGAATGCCTGACCGTTTCTTAGGAGGGCTCGTGCAGGAATTTGGGATACCTTCAAATCCCCGAGCTCAACTCGATGTGAGCTGCAATCTATTTACCAAGACCCTCCAACAGGTCACCACTACCAACTTGATGTGCTCCAAACTCCTCGTGCATGTTTTGTTGGACACCGACGACTGCACCGACCATAGTGACAGGGCGGAGTTGGTGGAGTTTGGTGCTCAGGGACTCCTACAAGCAGGCTCTATAGTCAATCCTAGGGACAAAGCAGTCCCAAAACCGCCACACTGAACATATGTTCTTGTGTTCTTAGCCCAGAAGTGTTGATGTCAAACTGTTACTGTAGGCTGTATAGGTTCGGGGAGCTCCTGATTTTTCCCCACCAAGCAGGCTTGTCGACTTCCTCCATGTCCTCCGCGTCATCGCTGCCGAACGGTTTCGGGACCTGCGCTCGGCTGTTCTCGGCCGAGGGCTTCAGCGGCTGCCGGAGCGACGCTTTGGGGACTTGGACGCCGAAGAGTCGCCTCGTTGGCAAGTATTGGGAAAGGGACATGGGACATGGAGAGGTTTGGGACATGGGGTTGCTGAAGAGGAGACGTGGAAGTGGGATGTTCAGTGGTTTCTATGCCATTCTATGCCAATTAGTGGAGACTCTTGCTATGCCCAGAGTCTCCGGCAGGACTGTCCTTCGATCGTCGTCTTCCACTGCCCACTGACTGGGAGCCACGGAACGACGAGTCGGGAAATTTCCCAGAAGTCCATCCCCTAGGCCTCCAGTCGTATCTTCTCAGAGGTGTTTGGGAATGGGTTTGGAGATACGACTCGAGGGTCTAAATACCTTCGGAGGAGGGAAACTTTCTCGAGGTGCAGGGATCAGTTTTGGAGTGATCCGGATCCTCCAAGGGTCGTGACCGCTGCGACTTCGCTGGCGAAAGGTCTCGATGCGATGGCCCGATGGCCATGCGAATGGCGTCACATCGGACTCGACCGTCCGCTACAGACATCGACCGAAGGACGGAGGAAGTTAGGACGAAGACGGTGATGAGTGATGTCTTACGAAAACAATAAGAAGACGTGCCCAGGCGGCCCGAGCATTGCATCATTTGCCTCACTGACTTTGAAGAGAGCAGTCAGGCTAGGGGCGGACCTGAAGGGGTGGGAAGGAAGGGGACTGGAAGGATGGACTTCCGGATGGATGTGAAGTCAGAACTGAAGGAGGTCTAATCAGCACGATTCCCAACAAATAAGCTTAAGAGATGCCACCTTCAAGGGGTGTCATGGGGTGTCTGTTTATAGCCCCAAAAAGCTGTGATTCGGGGTGTCCATGAACCACCCCGACTGGGGGTCCTGGTATGTGTTATGTGTTGCCCGGGCTCCAGCTCCTTTGAAACCAACAACATGTCACCTCATGTCACGATCCGCCGTCGTTGACCGGTGGGACGGGAGGTATGGGGGGGCCCGGAAGAGCCGGAGTGCAGTTCGGAGGGTCTGGTCTGAGCATTTGAGGAGGCAAGACTGGAGCCGCTTCACTAACATCAACCTCGCTTATGGCCTTGTGGTTCATCCTGGTCACATCTGGGCCCCTTCTTGGATCTGGGGGCCCTTCGGATGATTCGGATGTGGGATGAAGATGGGGTCCCTTCGGAGTCCATCCAAGCCCATCCCTTCGGGCAGTTCGGGCCTCGAAACGCCGGTCGGTCGTGTTCACACACCCCGGCCGGCGTGGAGGGTGGGGTGGAGGCGTTCGCCGAAACCTTTTGCGCCGGTTGGGGTGGAAACTGTAGGTCGCACGTGTGGGCTCTTGGGGTTGCATCCTTCGCCGGAAGACATGGCTCCAGTTGATGCCATAGGCATGCCATAGGCTATTCCGATTCCGATAAGCTGGTGCTGTGAGTCCCTACTTGTGCGACTCGATGAAGGTCATGCGTCGACTTCACTGCACTCTTGGACATATGCCCACCGTGCCCACATTATAAACTCTTGGTTTTGAAAGACTCAAGACAAAACTACCAGGGATAAACCATTTCCAAGGATCCAAGCACTCTCTGAGAAGGTGGGACTGGGGGTTCAGAGGGTCCAAGATTGTCCAAGTACCTTTTGAGGAGGTACGACTGGACCCCTAGGGCATGATAAACTCCTGGGCAGGGGATCTATGGTGGACAGCTGTGTGAACTTGAACGGCGTTGTATCGTCACACCTGGTGCAAACTAGGATGACAACCCCCGTCTTTTGACTCTTAACTTTTGGTCATCTATTTGTAAGTAATTATATGTGGTCGGATTCCTCGCCAGCACTTTGTGAAGGAAATTGACTACATGCTGCACACGCGCACTTGGTGCAACCCATGAATCATAGGGCTTTTCTGGTGCTTTGCTGCACTCAACCTTCAAAACTTGAAGCAAGTCTTGTCATCATAGCCTCGAATCATACCTAATAGCGCTTCCAATTTTGGGGTGCCCTGTCGACAGTGTGGAGATATCCAGCCAGGTGACCCCCAAGTCCCGTAAGCGGTTGCTATAGCGCTTGGTGACCCTCGATTGGCTCCAACAACGTGGCTCCAATGGACCGGGAGGAGTTTTTGGCGCCAGGTCTCACGCCTGGCCTGCGGCCATCTCTTCCATGTCGCCCGGTGACCGGAGGAAGTCGTCCGGTTTGCGGCGGAAGTCGTCCCGGTTTGCGGCAAGAACAGGGGCAGAAAGCGAGCAGAACAGGGGCAAAACACGTCCCACCAAAGAGAAGTGGCCGGATCCAGTCGGATCATGAGGACTCTGGATGACCACGAATATTGTTGGGAGTGCGTCAGGCCTAATGTAAACTTCATTAGATTTCAAACCGCATGAAGAGGTGTTACCATCCAAATGGGGAAGTGTTATTCATCAAGGGCCAACATGTTGTCTACATTATACATGCTGTTTAGAAAGTTTGGTTGGTTTGAATTTGATGCATTCAGTTCATGATGATGTAATGTTTTGTCAAACTGAATGGAGAAGCCCCAGGCTGAATGATCCTCATGCAATTGCCAATTTCAATAAGAATGGATGCATGATTCATGGGATGAGCATAGTCACTGGCCAGGTACCTGTGGGAAAAGAACTCACGATGAAAGAATACGCTCAAATATGTAATTGCTTTTGATTGAATGATGTTAATGTGTTTAGTGATTTTTTTTGCCTCTCTTGTTCGATGCACACCTCTCTCTCCCTGCCGAAACAGCCGCCTCAGCCGCCTCCCTGAGGCCAGCTGCATCAAGGAATGGCTTGGAGGAAAGAAATCGGCCAGCTGCCCCTACCGATGCCATGGATCTCCCTTGGAGGGAGTCGCCGTTCCGATGGCGACCTGTCTTGGTGACGGGCAGTCGGCCATGTGAACATGCTACCAAGTTGATCGAGGTTGTTTGTGATCGAGGAATACGTTTCATCTTGGCTTCGTTGGAGAAGGAGGGGGTCAGCAACAAAGGCATTAAAATTAATACAAACATGTATCCATAGTGTATGATCATATCTTAGATATATTATACACATTCCGACCGCTAGGGATGTTTTCCGACCGTTTTCGCTGGATCATGAACGGTTATTACGTTGCTTCTAGACATCCTGGGGCCGACCGTGATTGCATGGTGTTTGTGTTGTTGGTTGGATGGTGCTTAGTGGTTGTTGGTGAGTTACCCATTGGCCCAAACATGGAACATGAACCCGAAAGAATGAGAACTTTCCTCTACTAAGAATTTTTAGTAGGTTGTCATGCACTTTCATTATGTTGATTGGTCAGTGGCATTTGTTCCTTAGAAAGCACCAGCCACTCACCGACATGGACAGTCTCATAGGTCATAGCTGTGGAGCTCATATCCCTTGGTCTCCATGGTTTCCTCATGCGAGTGCAGTGAGGAAACCAAGTGACTTCCCCGAACTTGGCAGAAAAACACAGCACTCCCACGATTCGAATGACGGAATCAAAGGTTAACATGGTTTATGATAGCCTATTTTTTGGGGGGGGCTACTTGATCGTGTGGTTGATCAAGTAAAGCCACAAAGCAAGCAGATTAGTCCGTGTGAACGTGTGTTTTAGCTTTGAGGCTTCACGTCCGAACTCTCCGTCCAAACTCTCCATCCGAAGCCAGGAGTCCAACAGTGGTTCCCCCCTGCTTCCGAGCCCCGGCCGCGCCCCCTCAGGCTTCGACCGTGCGTGCTCCGACGGAGCCCTGATCAGGGAAAAGGCATCAACATGAGTATGGCTCAAAGACGGGGTCATCTCAGCGTTCAGCCTTCCCCATGATTAGTAAACCCTTCCCAATATGATGCAATGGCCGAGGCGATGATTTTTCCATCTTTGTCCGATGTTTTCCCAAAAGAACGGTTGGAAGCACTAAAATGATTCCAACCGCTCTGTGGGCGGCTGATATCCGCTGAGTATATTGACTCCTTGAGCCGAAGAAAAATTTCGCCGTGAGGCGTCCCTGTTGGGACCATGCATGAGCAGAAAGGACACATGGACTTGCTGACATTTGTTTTGGCCCGAGTCCGGGTTCAAGAACAAGGAAGGGAGTGGGAATGAAGGGAAGGGAATATCGAATTCCGAATGATTCGGAGGATGGAGAGTGTATTGGGTGAGGTCCTCAACATTGCTGTTCCCGGCCGTGGGTTAAGATGGTTTAAGTAGCACTCATCCACCCTTTGAGATCGCAGTCTATGTGCCCAAGCAGGTTCAGCCTGGCATAGCCTGGTCCTGCAGTGCATAGAATCTCTAGCTGTAGGTCTAGGAAGACTCATCTCATGAGCATTCCTGGAGTCGAACAGGAACACCATTTGGTGGCAAAGGGCAAGTCTTCAGAGTCCGCTTTGAGCCTTCACAAGAAGCAGTGAACGAGTACGGTGAACGAGTACCTTCGGTGGAGGCCCGACCGTTTCACCGTTTGAATCACGAGGGGATTTTTCCATCCGTCTGGATGGAAGAGACGGATTGCAAAATCACATGTGGTAATTTTACGACCTGACTGTGATGGTAACATTAGATAGATAGATAGATAGATTGATATTCCATTTGGAATAAGATCTCCTATGGCGGCGTATGTGAAGGTCTCACTGTTCTTACTGTATCTCCAAAAATGCGTTTCATGTGACGCCAGAGACCACCATCGACTCCAGTGACTCTTTCTATGTTCTTCTGAGACGCCCAGATGCGCGCGTCTCGTTCCCGTCCGCCACAACGCTACGCGGACGACCCGCCGGAGATCTGTGGGCGATGTGGACACCCCGATCTTCCAAACAGCGAGGTGGTTGAGATGGTCGATTTGTGGCAGGTTGGGTGGAAAACGGTGTGGAACATGATGACATGACATGGCCGGGTGTCTCGAAAATGGCCCAGATCGATCCACTGGAGTTCTTGCTGGGTGGGCCCTTGCGACCAAAGGGCAGCCTAGTTGGGATTTCTCACAGCTGCAGAGTGGAAAAAGACCAACTGGCCGCAGAAAGCGGTGCTTTCGACCGCGGTGGCGACACTACGGAATTTCATTTGAGCCAGACTGGCATTGAAAGCATGAGGTGAGGATGAGCTGAGGATTGGATACATGTGGATAGATGTGGATCCTTTAGTATGTGAAACCAGTGGCTGTTCAGATGAGATTTGACTTGCACATGAGAAGGAGGAACCAAGGTTTGGGAGCTGACCAGGTTGGAGGTGGGACATGTCTAAGATAGTTTATGGATGCTTATGTGTGTTCAAATATATTTCGTATGTTACATATAGTTACACCTCGATCAAAGAGTGGTTAGGACTTAGGAGGTCTCACTCCACAGTTCTGAGACCTCCTTCTTGCCCAGCCAGGAGACCGAAGGAGGACCCTCATAAGAGTGAGGAGTCAGTCCTCGATGTATACAACATCGACGTTTTTGGACAGCTCCAAGGAATCCAAACAAAACAACTTCCCCCTCATAAAGTCATAAAGTACTGTAAGACCACTTGTAAGACAACGTGTTCTGAGCACAGTATTGAGCGCATCCCTTCTTCTAAAGGATTTATTTGAAAACAAAGGGAGAAGGTGACCGAACTGAGCGCATCCCAGGATTTTTAACGGTCACATTGTTTAGGCCAGTGAACACCGGTGTCCGGCGGGTCACCAATGGTCCGAGCTGCAGGATGTTTGGGTCACCCAAAACTGAGACCTCCTACGCTGGACCATCCCATCTGGCCAAATCCCGGAGAGTACGCTGGTTTCGGAGTAGATGGCACAAACACCGACTTCAAAAAAGGGGTCCATATAAACCACCACCACCTCTTCAAAATTGTGCCATTGGTCCTCTGGAACCAGTTGGGCTGTCCTTGGACCACCCTAGCCCGGTCGGATGGGCCGTCCCAGACCCTTCGACGTGGATTTCCGTCGTGCAGGTCTCGGACTGGCCCTTTTCTGCAGAGCCGAGGTCAGTGCAGGCGGGGGTTTGATGGAGGAAGAGTGGACGGGCAGGCAGTAAGGTTGAGCTGAATGAAGCTTGGCATCTCCTCACTTTAGATCACACCCAGGGTGGACACCCTCACTTCCACAACACAACCCTAAGGAGAATCAATTGAGGGGGTACATTCAAGGAAGGATTTCATTGTAGTTCTCACACATGGTGAGAGTCATAGTGCTGCCTGTGGTGTTTACAGGTTTCCGGAGAACTCATGTCTATCCTCTCCAATGATCCTTAAAAGCTTTATGCAAGAGTAGCAGGAGGACGTGAAGAAGTAGTGCTTTGCCACTCCCAGTTGGACAGCAAGATGCCCTAGAATTGTACCATCCATCATCATCCATCCATTGACCCTCCAATAGGCAGACCAGGATGGGCACTGTGTTGGCATGTCCCATCCGACCGTGGCATGTCACCGAGGCTCTAGCAACTGTGGTAGTTCGGTGGTGCTGGTTTGGTGGGCAACCGTTTCCTTGAAATGTCCACCAGTTCCCAGGTCTTATGTTTTGTGATGACCATATTATCATATTGAGGATGTGGATAACTAATAATGAAAACCGTTGGCAATATGGGGTGGCTGTGACACAATTGTGGGTCTCTGGGCAATTTCATGTAAGCCTTGTATTGTTGAAAACTCTACCAAAGCAGAGACACCAAAAAACACCACACATTCTTTGAAGACCCCCCAGACTCTCCAATTCTTACAGGTGGCTACTCGGTTGCTTTTGGACTCAGGAGCACCACTTGCTTTTGCTCCAGAGGACCGTGGCAGAGGCACGGATTGGGCGCCCCGGTGCCGGATGGGCCAGGCTTTTGGTGAATCCCTGGAGCAGAACATAGCAGAACGAATCAGGACCAACGCGTTCAAACATGTTCAAACCCTACGCCAATCAATGTGAACTAATGAGCTGTGAACTAATGAAATTGCAACTTTTTCTTCACCCAGACCTGTTCTCCAATAGATCCTGGTCTAAGAACCTAGTAGGTATTTTCGGATGGGCCTCGTCAGACAGTGAAGCTGCGACTTTCAATTGCAATGCCGAAAGCTCGACACATTGGTTTTCAGAGTAGATTGCACAAGGGCGACTGGAGCCAGGCTTCTCCTGGGGGAGTGGCGCTCTAAAGAGCACACCGGAAGCACAAATGGCACGACCCACGAAGCTGCCAGCAAGTGAACATCCGAAGACAGACAAGTTGCTTCGGGATGGTCTTGCAGTTGTCGCCCTCACTTCACCCCTTCCCACCTTCAAAGAGGCTATGGCACTTTCTGTCCAAAAACGCCCTCGGATCAGTATGACTTACGACCAGACACACCGGTGGCGCTCGCGCTCGGTCTCCACACAGGATCGGCTCCACGCGATTCGCTCGGTTTCGCGGTCGAGCGGAGGCCCAGTCCATCGGGGCGGACCATGGCTTTGAGGATTTGATGGAGCTGCTGAAGGTGGCGATCCGGTCAGATCGGAAGATCGGAGGAAGATCAGGTGCGTCGTTGTGAAACGGTGCGGTTGGTATTTGGAACTGAAATCGGCAGAAACTCATAGTTCTTTAGGTGGGTTGACCTGGTGGTGTAATGAACAAATATGAATCTGAACCAATCTTGAACAATGGCTCTTTGGTAAAGACCATTAAAACAATGGTTGTTTGAATCCTAGGGTATACATTAAATCATTATGTCCTAATCCACTGTACCCCAGATGCATTTCTGGAAGAGCTGTGGGGCACGCCAGGCTGTTAAAATTGGCTGCTAGGAATCATCCGACTGAGCTGGTATACCTACACCATCCCACACCTTGTTTGTTTACACCTTCTTCTTTTTTTGGGGGGGGTTAGCTCGTTAAACAGTATACAAATTATATAACATCATTTTCCAAAAGCATTCAGAATTGTTCTTGGATGTTCTTGATTCTTGGGCTTTTGGACGTCTTCACGATGAAACTCGTCAGTGGTTTGGCCTTTCCCGCCTGGCGAGGAGACTTTTATGTTTCTCACGACGGGCCCCAGTGTGAGTGCGGTTTGGGTTTAACTGGGTGAAGAGTTGTAAGAATGTGATGTCGATAGGAAATTGGACACATGATAAACTTAATATCATATAGACAAAAGGGTCTACAGGTCAATAAATGCAAAACATACAGCTGAACAGAAAACAACATTTAAGACATTTCTAGCTGTTGGGACTAGGAGTGACACCTCAAGCATTTGTTGCGTCCAAGTCTTCGCCCCGGACATAAAAAGTATATCGGCCGGCTTCGCAAATCAACGCGTTTGGTTTGTTTGTTCAATCTTGCGGCACTGTTTCTTTTTTCTCCAGCGGATCTTGGAAGATCTATGATCAACTTCCACCAACTTCCCGTCAATTGTTCCACGCAGATGGTCAATGATGGTATTTTTGTTAACGTCCACGGTTGGATTTTGGGTGAGTCTCGTTTGCTTACCGTGCTGCACAAGTTTCGATCTCCCCTCTCATTATGTGCCCAAAAGAGCTGCGTAGCAAGCCAGGTGGTGGAAGAGCTGCGAAGCAGACCAGGCACAGCTGGTGCTTCAGGTGTGTTTTGCACGGTCCAACATGGGATGAAGATGGAGATCCTTCTTTGCTGACCAACATGGACCTCAACACCATATGAGTCCTTCCGGTTGGAAGATCATTCAACTCTACGACCGACTCCCGACTCTGAGAACCAGAGGAACCAGGAGTAGCTACTAGGGGCCCAGCGGCTCCTGGCCTGCCTTACTAGCGAGGACGCTACGAGTGACGGGGCTCCAGTTCCATGTGATTCCAGATGTCCGAAGAACATCAAATGCAGGCACAAGGGGTGCTTTTTGGGGTGCTGTATGCACATCTGACAGTTTTTTTAGTGGAT